TACTTAAATTCCCTGACTTTTCCCTGAATATTTTGGTCAATTTCCGAATTCCCTGACTTTTTTCGGTTTTCCAGGTAGCGTGGCAACCCTGGTATTATGCATATGCACATGCGCATGAATGCATTTACGCATGCGCAGAAAGTTTGTAGCTTTGAGGTCCGGATTATAGATGATTCCGGATTATGGACATCTGGATTAAAGACTTTCTGTACCAATTTCTACCCGATTGAGGCAACCCATAAATACTTTAATTTACATACTTTTCCTTCTCCAATCAGTTTTTCATAACCAGGTGGAGGAGTCATATACACATTCTCATTTAAGTCACTGTAAAAGTATGCCGTTTTTACATCATAAAATTTAACAATCAAATTTAATTTAGCTGAAAGTGCAAGCAATAATCTAAAACATTCAATTTTTACTATTGGTGAATATGATTTGGTATAATCCTTATTTTTTATTTGATTAAACCCAGGTGCTACTAATCACGCTTTATATTTTACTTCCCCAAAGTCTCCTTCCCTCAAAGTATACACCCACTTACTTTTTACTACTCGGATCGTCTTCATAGTATTTCATTTCTATATTTATTACTCTTTCATAGCTATCAGATGTTTGGATTTTATTTCCCCTGTCTCATCATTCCAGCTACAGCGGCTCATGTTGGTGATTTCGAAATTCAATGAGTCATTATATTCGCTTGCTTGAGTATTTTCCGTAACAACCAATTCGAGGTGTGGTTTTTGGATCTACTTTGTTTCCCCTTTCTTTTAATTCTTCAATCTCCCAAGTTTCTAAGGTTTTATTTTCCCTCATATAATTACTACCTTTTAAATATTCGTTAAATTTAACTGACCGTTCTTCAATTATTTTATTACTTGCTATATCATAAATACAATATCCTTTTCTTTCTCTAGCATATCCTAACATTATCCCTCTTTTCTCTGGTATATCAAATTTGTTTCGCATTACTTTCGGAATGTGAAAGTATGCCACACATCCAAATTTTTTTAGATAGTTTAATTTGGGTTTCTTACCAGCCCAAATTTCTAAAGGAATTTTTCTTTTCCTTTCTGGGGTGTTAAATTTGATACTTGAGCACTAAAATTAATTGTTTCTGCCTAGAATTTTACCGGAAGCTCACTCTCATGTAGTAATGTCCTAGTTCTTTCCAAAAGAACTCTGCCTGTTCAGCTTTCCCATCACTCTCACTGTTTTACGGAATCGTTTTTCATTAAAAATACCAGAATTAGCAAGATAATTATCCAATTGTTCATTATTTTTACTTTTAAGAAAATAAATAAAATACATTCCAGAAAAATCATCCACTAAGATCATAAAATATTTAGTCCGACCAACTGATTCCGTTTGAACAGGACAACACAGATCCAAATGAATTAATTCTAAAATTTCTGAACTCTGATTAATGTCAATATTTGGATGACTTTTTCTAGTTATTTTACTTATGTCACAATTTTCACACTTAAAACCATTATCATTAATATCAATGTATTCTTTAATCTTAAGTATATATTTTGGATTTAAATGGCATATACTATGCCAAATGTTCATAATTATACCAGTAATCATTAGCAATGCAAGATTCAGAATATAATATGGTTCTAATTAACCTCAAGCCTACTGTTACTCTTAAATGCTTTAAAAAGTAATTCATTACACCTACTAAAAACTAATACAGAATTATTCCTTTATTCAATTAACATCCTTTATCCATTAAGGCAGTGAGTGACAATAAGTTATTTCTTAAATCAGGAATATAACTAGCATTACTAATACTAGTTAAATTAACAGAACTAGAATTCTTTGTATTTATAGTTTTTGCTCTAACAGTACCAATACCTTCTGAAAGTATTTTTGAATGTTTACCTGCCTGGTAAATCTCCCTCATCTCTGATGTAATATTTTAAAACCAAAAGGAATCTTTTGCCATGTGTCCAGTTGCACCATTATCCAATAACCAAATTTTGCCACATTCATCATTTTTCCCACGTGTAATTACCTTTAGATAACTCGCTTTTTGGATTCTTGTTTCTGTAGTAGCAATCTTTCGTGATGTGACCAGGTCGTCGGCAAATGTAATCGGCAAATGTAAAAGTCTTGGCTTAGAATTGTTATGCCTCCTTGATACAAATGCCTCAGCATTGGTTCCATCAGGTCTTTTCCCCCATTCGTTGAACTGTGTGTACACTCTTCTTCACAGAGTATTTCAAGTACTTCATCAATTGTTTTTTCATACCAAGGTTTTACAATTTCCCTAATTCGAGAGAATTTTCCACGAAATCCATGGACTGTGTAAAACACCATTTCCTGAGGAGATACTTCTAGCCCTAGCGATTGGCACTTAGTTGCTATTCCTCTCGCTCGTGCGATATAATCATTAGCCGATTCATGCTACTTCATTCCTAAATTTTTTAACTCATTACCGGCATCTATTTTTCGATCTTCGGCTTGTCCTGTAAATGTTGATTTTATTTTCTCCCAAAGAATTTTTGCATTCTCTTCTGTGGAGAACTTAAGCGTCTGTTGATCCGATAATGAAAGTTTTATGTATGCTACGGTGTCAGCGTTTTTCTCATTCCACAATCTTTCATCTTCTCATCTAAGTTTTCTGGTTTTACAGTCAAAATTACTGAGTCAAGTCTTTTCGATAGGCAGCTTAATTCAATACCCAAAAAAATAGTTCTCACTCACCAGTTAATTCGGGAACGTTCTCCTTCTCCATTTTTGGCTTCCACTAAACAGTTTCTTTCGGTTTTACTTGGTATTTTATATCCAATTCTTCTTGACAAAACCCCGCGGCTATCATTTGTTGTTCAGAGGCCCATATTTAGAGTAAAGAAGCCATCGTAGGACAACACACTTTATTTACATGAATAATGAATAAAAAGAGCACACAGCAAATGATATTGAGCATCACACAGCATATATTATCTCACCATCTCCATACGCTCGAATGACAGATGTATCGGGAGAAGAGACAGCTGCGGCAGCATAATTAATATGCATGCGCATAAGAAAAAAGGTTTGCTCGCCTCTACGCAACAACTTTCAATACATATAATATACATTGCCAAGTTTATATAAACTAAGCAGAATTTTATAACATTTGCACAATTCTATATCCTTCCTCACTTCTCTAGCTATACGTGCTTGTGTTTAGCATCCTTTTTTTGAATCTGCACCTTCATTTAAATTTGCCTTTTAGGATTTTACAATTAAATATGTACGTATGTCACTTTTGACCATATTGTTATGTATATCTGTAAGTATTCAAATCTTTTTTTTATTACACTGTTGTAATAACATGCATTGATTTATGCAGTTGCTCATGTGTTTATTTTTCATTTGTGACTCCCCCCTTTTTTTAGAAGTGTTTGTTTCTTATATGGAATTGTTGATCTTTCAGTTTTGAATACAGTAACATTTAAACTATAAAAATAGCCTAAGCAAAATGTGAGACATAAGCAATTGCCTTCTGCATAAGTCATGGCTATTGAATATTCACAGAACTTTCAGAATCTTGTGTGCCACCAGACCCAAGCTTGTGTTACACCATAGATAAGGTTCAGAATGCCCGGGTTAATTGTTGCTGTTAGTTGTTATTTAGCTGGGAGATTCAGCTAATGCTAAATTTTGAGATTTTACCTGGCAAGTGTAATTAACAGTAAGAAAGGCAACTGATGATGCGTTTTATGTGCTAAGAAGGAATTGTTTAATAGCTACATTCTGTTTGAGGTATTGTCCTGTACATAGTTAATTTTTGTAATAAATTGTTAATCTTTTCCTGTTTATCTGAAGTCATCATTTAAACAGATATAAACAAACTAGTAGCTCAGAACAACACAATACTTGGAGGAAATACCTAATCTTAAATTAGGAATTCTTATAAGATGAAATTATACTTTTTGATCTGAATATCTTGTAAGATAATCAAAGGACTTTTCAGATTTTTTAAGTCTACCACAGCATCCAACACAAGAGAGCTGGTATTCTTTAACATAGTTCAATAATCCAATGATTAGCTCATTTTGAGTTTATGGATTTGCCAGTATGGTAGCATCATTAGAAGCATTGAAGATTAAAAACGCATTCATCATGCAATCAAATATTTCAGTAATTTAAAATTTTACATTCAGCCATATTATACACTTTCATGACATCCTTCAAAACATCCAATTAAATGACTAAGAAGCACAGAATATTGTTTTAATACCAGAACAAAAAATTATCCACGCTTAAAGAACCTATAAAAACACTATGTGTATATATTATAGGACTGCAGCATCAACTATTAATGATTTAATGAAAAAAGCAGATATTTTAGTTTCCATGTTTAAAATGAAACTAAGAAAATTTAAAGTTCTGGGAAGCTTTTAAAGATGCCTTTGATATCACAACAATATCACCCCAAAGAAAACAGTAAACATATGTAAGAAATATTTTTGTGTTTATGTTTCTTTGGGAATAAATTTCTGTTTTCTATTATTTTTTATTTTTAAGAAAGGCCTTAAAAGGATTTAGAAGATACAATCTGTAATACCTAGCTACCATATATTTATCAAAATTTAATTAAGATAAGCCTTCAGTGTTCCAGAGGGATGTTTGATTTGTTGATATTGAAAAGACTATTATTAATACTTAAAATTAATGGATTAATACTTAAATTGAAGATTTATGTAAATTTCTGTACTTTCTTTAGACCTTTTAAAAATTCCATTTAGAACAATGAAAATTATCATAGTTTTAAATTTCAGACATTAATAAGTTTTCAAAAATAAACAAACAAACAAAAAATTCAATGGCTCTTTTCACAATAAATGCACTTTTTGAGGGTCCATTTTTATGTGGTGAAATAACTACACCACACATATCAGAAAAGTAAAATTCATAACTTTAAACTATTATAGCTGCATAAATTGCTTCAGTTATTTTAATGAATTTTAGAGTAAGTAATAAAGGAAAAGAATTAACAAACTTACTGAGCAAAATCCACTTCTTTATCATGAATTGTTTCATGTATAAGTATTTCATCCTCTCCATCTCTCTCATCTTTTTCCTCATCAGACTCAATATCTAAAGAGAAAAAGAGGGGGGAAATGCAGATATAATTAAAAATATGCATTAACATAAACTTTATTAGTAAAAAATACAATTCAGGTCTTAAATTCATTTATTTGATTAAAGTACATTCTTAATGATAATAAAAATGCTGAAATAACTTAAAGTGTGACTGTAAAAATCTTTCAGTTACTTAAAATTGAACAGAACATAATAAAAATTTATCTAAATTTAAAATAATACACATTCCGAAATTATGAGAAAAAATGCCAAAAGTTACCTGATGTAACATTCAAATCCCATGAATGAATAGCCTCTGTTTTAAAACGGATCCAAATGTACATTGGGAAAATCAAAAAAGCACACAACACTATCTAAAAAATATAACACAATTTGAATTAATCAGAATACAGAAATAAAACAGAGGTAATAATTTATAAAACCTTAATCATTACTATTAAAAAATTTTCTTGATGTATCAAACAGTAACTTTTCTTAAGCATACATGCAATAATATATGATAAAGGTTTTAAAGTTTATTATTTTGTCCATAACTGGAACGATCACTCTTTCATTCTTAAATATAGTTTGTGATAAATATTTTGAAAAATTTATCAAAATGTGCAAATGCAGTTTAATTCTTTTTTGAATCAAAGCCAGCATTACACATCTAGAAATAAGATATTGAGCTTATTAAGAGATCAATAAGATATTGTCATTTTACAATTTTATGCTTAGGAACAATACTTAATTTAACCTAGAATGCACAGAAGTCAAGCAATGTTCCTTGAAGTTTTGACAGATTTGGTAGTTCCTAACACAGTGTAATCAAGTGCCTGTTCATTTGAGCTTCAGTATTTTTGTTTCAGATTCTCCCACACCATTTAATATCAAAAGAAACTATACACCCTATGAAGTTTCATGATATACTGTTAGTACTACCTGAAGGTCATTTAAACATCTCATCATAGATGTTTAAATGACCTTCAGGTAGTACTAACAGTAGACTAAATTGTACCAAGGGATAGAGAGAGCAGAAACACAAATAGTGAAGTCTTACCAAGGAATTAAACCTATTTCCTTAACATCAAGCCTGGCAGTCAGTCTATATCAGGATGGCATTAATGCTTATACTAATGATAATAAATATTTATAAATATAAGACAATTAATAAAAAATTATGCTTATAACTACCGAACACTACAGATAATTCTAAGACAAACAGCAACCATTTTGCATATCTTAAAATGTCCTTATACTAAAACTAACCTCAGTAATAAAGAAAAACAATACAGAAACCTAAATATTAAAAAGGTTTTTGGTTAAAAATAATAGATACTATTTAAGCTATAACCAAAAGGAAACCTTATTTCTATATTAAAGAATTATTAGCTTATTATGTTTTAAATTTATTATTTTTTTTAACGTTTTAAAAATTTTTTATTTAAATTTCAAAATGTATGGGTAAAGTAAGTATCCTGAAATTATATTACAAGAAATAAAAATGGTATAAGTACATGACTTCCATATTTGATATTTACTAAATTTTAATTTCCTTTTATTAATTAAAATTTAATTTTTAATATGTTTCTAGTTCCTCATTTTTTATAACTAATTGTTAAAAATACTTTTACTTTAATATTTGAACACCACTTGTCTATGTTTTTAACAATTTTTATTTTTTGATATATGTTAAGAAAATATGGATTGTGGGAAAATAAGTAATTATTATTTCTTAGTTGGATCACCCATATGCAGCACTAAAAATGTCCAATGTGCAGCTATTTCTTATTTTTGTCACTGGTCATGTTTGCCTTTTTGTGGTAGTAAAGTGGCTTCATAAGTAAATATATCTACCATCTGTGAAGTCTTTTTCATAATTAAAACATAAAAAGTCAATCCTCACTAAATTCACAGTGAATTGTTATCAAATTTATGAACCTACAATAAAAATTGAACAAACATTAGGAATAAAGATAAAAGAAGCCTAGAAGAGCTAGGTAAATATAGGCTTCAGTATTCCTTAGCAAGGTAAATATATACTTAAGTGCAAAAGATCGTTGCTTCATGGCTCTTACTATGAAATTTCTAGAAATTTCATCAAGCACAGCTATTACTAGTCCTCAAAAGGTTATTAAAACACTCCTTATTGTTTTGAGTCTTCCCATCTAGGCATTTTATCAGCAAAGTGTCACACAGTGAAAGATATGTTGCTTTTATAGCTTTTATTTTGTTTAATAATTAGAAAATATTTGTTTAAATTTATTGATTACATTTTTATGACCATTTAAATGCCAACTTTCGGCATCCAAAAATTCATTTCCGGTTTATTATTTATACTATAACTTTGTTTTTAGTTATCGTAAAAACAAAAATAAAGCATTTTTGGAAACCTAAATGTATGGCCTATAAAATGAATAAATAATAAATTAAAAAAAATTCGAAAACGACGAATTGGACTTTTAAAGAACGTACGAACCCTGATATATTTTATGTTCAAACAGTTTCATTTTTGAAATACAGCTTGCAGAAATTATATTCTCAGAACTAAACTGATTAATTAAGATTGGCATAATTTCATTCTTATTTTGACCAAGGATATCCTAGAAAATGGAGGCCCTTCAGCAGTCGAGTGGTGAAGTTACCGAACACTGGTAGTTCGGTCCGGGGTTCAAATCCCAGCAAATGGGCTGGCTGCATGGGCGTTTTCATGGTTTTCCCCATGTGTAACTTTTAACATGAGCCGATTTACCTTAGAAAGTTCTCCATTAAGGAATCATCCTTTTCTTTAGGCAGATAGCCTACCTGTGCTTTGCTGTAATCAAATACAGTCAAAAGTCTTTATTAAGGACTCGTCGGGACTTCGGCAATTCCGGATTATAGATCATCAGTTTAAATCTGGTAAGATGGCATGCAGAAATTATAAAATTAAAAATATGAAACCGTAATTTATGAAATAAAGAGCAATTATGATCTAAAGGGTATCAAAATTTACAAAAAAAAAAAAAAAAAAAAAAAAAGAGCTTAATATTTGTTTACTTTATTAAACATTTCTTTCAAGCATACATTATGCGTACTCAAAATTAGAAAATTGCAACCAGAAAACTATTTGATGTGTATTCGTGATATTTATAATGACGAGGAATTTGATTTTAATCATATCAAAAATGGAGTACATCGAGATGAAATACTACATTTAGTAAGGAATTATAAGCTGAATGAAATAAAAACATCTGCCGTGAAGATAAGGATAGCACTGACAGATCAACTTTCAGTTAATGCGCGCTGAATTTTAAGGAAAATTTCTTATAAATATGTTAAAGGGAGTAATTAAAAGTGATTTGATTTCGGTGTTGAAGGAACTCGGTAAAGAAGCCGATTCTAGTTTAAAAGTCATAGAATTAAAAGATAAGCTTTTAAGTTCTAAAGAATATTTGAAAGATATAGATTTTGTTATTGAATTTCTTACGGTTGAAGAAACTTACGGTTTCATACTACGGTTGAAGAAAGGAAAAAGTCAGAAGAAATTGTGAAACTGCGTTTAATGCAAATCGAAAAAATAGCAACGAATCTAGTAACAACGTAGAAAATACACTTCATTAGACAAGCTTTTGAAAGCTGTACAGGCATTATCGATTTCTGTACCTAAAAAGGGTGAAGCATGGAACTTATTTTTGATTCAATAGAAAGGGCTTTTAAGCATAAGAACGTACCAAATGAGTTTAAGTCTAAAATTTTACTTAAACTGATAGGTGATAAATCTTCTAATAATATTCTAGTATATATTAAGATGATGATTTGAAAGATTATGAAAAAATTAAATCTTTAATCCTTAAGGAATTATGAACCATCGCCAATTATATGTTTAGAAAATTTTCGCCAAGCTCAAAGGTTGACTGGGGGAAACTCATTTGCAGTTCGCCTCTCGTTTAAGATCATGTTGGATCCATTATTGTAAAAGTAGAAACGTCAATGATTTTGAGTCTTTAATTAACTTCATAATTTCTGACAAAATTTTTCAAACTCTGAATAGTGATTAGCGTGCCATGTTGCAGTTCGACAAGGTGTAAGTTGGCTACGTCCAGAAGAACTAGCGAAGGAATGCGACACTTATTTCATCGCAAAAGGTAAATCTTTTGACGACATAAGAAGTGAAAAACGCATTAATTTTCGTGATTTATGCAACAAAATCTTTAAATATATTCCACCAGCGCTAAGAAAAGATTCAGTGGTAAATGAGCAGAAACATTCGTTCAAACCGCGAGAATATTACGTGTGTAGTAGCAATTTACATTTGGCTAAGGATTGCTCGAACAGGCAAAATAAATTTGAGAGGTCCAATAAACAGAACGATAATTTTCCGGTCAAACCGAAAGTTAACACTTCAAGTAAACCGAAGAACAATGCGATTGTTACAAATGTAAATTCTAAACATTTACAAAAACGCGAGTGTTCCGACGGAAAACTTAATTTTTATTCCTTGGAAAAGATTACTATTTACATTGCAGGGAAGTAAGTAGAAGCTATAAAAGATTCAGGTATGGAAATACCAATTTTGAACACTACATTAATTCTTGATTTCAAAATAGAAAGTAAGGGTAAAATCTAAGTTCTGCATTTAGTGACGTCATACAGGCAAAGTTAGCAACTATTCCCATTTATCACAAAAAACCAAAAAGTTGTCTATATTCGTGCGCAGAAGCACTTTTCGCGTTGACAGATAAGTTTAATGTTTAATTACACCAGTTGTATGGGATAGCATATTTGAAGATGAGAATGAATCAACAGTCTTCCCTGAGATGAAACCGGAAACTCATATACAAAAACAACCTAAGATTGGTGCCATTGAACTGTCAAATGTAAATCTTTTTTATAGCTCAGTTGTGAATCAGAATAAAAGACTAAACAGTTATTCGGAATTGAATAAATTTAAGGTCGATTAGAGAAACTGCCAAACATTATTAAATTCTTTTAAGGATGCAGAATTAGGGAACAATAATTTCTTTTTACAGGACGAATTATTATTTCATAAAGAAAAAATTTTGTGGAGAAAACATACAACAGTTAGTTTTGCCCGAGAATTATCAAAATAAAGTCCTTCAATTAGCTCATGATTCCATATTTGGAAATCATTTAGGTATGAGGAAAACTAAAGAAAGAATTAAGCTTTCATTTTATTGGCCGAACATATCCAAAGATGTAGAAAATTATTGTAGAAGATGCGAAAGATGTCAATTAAAAATTTCGATTACTCCTATTTGTTCGCGTGCCATATCCCTTTCATACCATAAATATAGATATTATTGGTGAAATTTCACCGCCCTCAGGAAGGAAACATAAATATTGTTTGTGTTTGATAGATAATCACTCAAAA